GAAGGGAAGGGAGAAGCATCGATTCGTTTAGCTACTCACGGAGAAGATGGATTCTGGCGACCGGCATGCTGTCGTCGGTGCTCTGTTGATCTGCGTCGTCTCGATCGTCAAAAAGGCATTGGCCAAAAAAATATTAAGAAAAAAGGCAGAGAATCATGGGGGATATGAAAGGGTAAAAAAGTAAAATCAGATTTTATCCCACCGAATCCCACGGGAAAGGTGGGATATCTTTTATGAAAGGAGCTTAGGATGGGATAAAATACGGGATAACAGTTGTCCCATCCTGTAACCACACCAAACATGGGATATTGTGGGATGAGACAAAAATTTTGTCCTATCCCACTGTTTATCCGGTGTTCCAAACGCACTGTAAGTGCTTGATTTTAATTCATCTTAAATTTTTTTAATGTTTAAATAATAATAATAATAATAATAATAATTTTCTTTTGGGGCTGTCCATCGTTACGGGTCCCACACGCCAAAAGCGGACATCTGATCAACTTCATCTAACGATCAAAATCAAGTCTCACAGGAACTGTCTTTGTCCCAATGGTTGGATTCTAAATTTTAAATGTTTGGATAAAATGATCAGAATTTCGAGCTTTACTAATGTCATGAACTTTATAAAAAAACAACCCACATTTGAAGAGGTGGAATATTCACCCGATTTGAGAATCGAATTTTCAGTTGTTAATAACTAATTCATACTAATTTTCTAATCATTATTCTTGTTAAAAAAAAAAAAATCTTACAGGACACCTCGATTTGGTTCTTGTTCTTCCCTTCTCTAATGTAAAATGAAGGGTTAATTATCATTTTTTTAACATATTAAAATTATTTATATATATTAATTAAAAAAAAAGAGATTATGAGACTTAAAGGTACAATTTATAAGAAATAAACTATTCTAATTTAAAATTCATATCACTGACTTTTTAAGTTAATTACCATTTAACCTCATAATTTATGTAGATTTTTAGAGCACCACCCTTACCTAAGAATTTAATATTATATTAATGATTTAATTAATTTAATAATAATTATATTTTAATAAAAAAATTTAAATTAAATCATGTGATATATAAATAAATATAAATTAAAAAATAAAAAATTATTTTTTATTATACCATCTAAAATTATAAAAAAATTTAATATTATTAACTCCCTCACCATTACAGAATTAAAATTCACACTTATTTGACATATTTCACTGGTACTTCTCACATAGATAAGAATTAGATATCATTGTCATCCCACTCGTCAATACATCCACGTCTTTTCCTCTATTCGGCGCGTCACAATAACAATAATAAACCGGCGCCTTTGTTATATTTGGTGGAAATTTCGGCAAAAGCCTA